TGGTAATATTTTAATGTTTACGAATATTTTGCATATTGCTCGGAAGAACATTCCGTATTAGATTCAATTAATAAAATATACACACACAAAAATTGTCTATCGCCAGTCATTAAAATAAAAAGTGAGTTAAAAAACAAACTTATTCAAACTTTCTGAATTTATTTTTCCGATTGATTATTGGCATAAAATTGAAATAATTTTCTTAGTTCGTTAAATTGAAGATTGTGTTTAAAACTAAATTAAATCGGATAGGTAGTTGGGATACGCCACTGGCGAGCGTATTCAGGCCCTGAATAAGGTTTTTATACCAATTTTTTTGAGAAATAGAGTTAGTATATGCCATAACCTTGAGTAGGCAAGTCGACGCTCATGTGGCTTAACGATTTCATCCACATTTGTTACAGATTTGAATGTAGTTTAAAAAAAAATTGTACAAGAGATAACCAAGAGATTTGGAAAATGATAAAATCATTATCGCCGTTAATTATCGTTAGATTTCAGTGGCCGTTATTTTGAAAGAAAAATTGCTTGTTTTTTATTTTGTTTTTGCAGTTATTTTCTTTTGGAATGTTTTAACAGTACTTCGAAGTTAAATGTATTTTTATATAAATTCTATTTAAACGAAATCCTATAAATTTTCAGTGCCAATGTATTACAAGCTGCCAAGGTTAAACAATAATTATTATTGTAAACACGTTTAAATGTTACAGGTCACACAGTCTATCGACTGACCGGGAACGTTTGAATTTTGGTTGGTTTTCAACATTCTTACGCCTTATTTTCTCGCCGAGACCGAAAAATTTACATAGATAAAAAAATAAAACACACGTTGTTCTGGAACAAATTGTAAATACTTTTGCTGTGTATTTTTTAAACAGTTCATTTTAAAAGGTTGTGTGGTTTTAAGAATTGTGTCGGCGCCCATATGACGTCATTGGCGTGTTTTAAGTGGGACACCCTGTATATATTCAATTAAATTGAACATTCACTTATCGATGTAACGACACAAGCGTTGATGGGTAAAGGATACGCGTGGGCAATAAAACCACAGGAATAATAGGTTTTAGAAAAGACACAGTCAAATATATTTGATTTGTAGAGAAAAATTCACCTCAAATCTCTAGTAAAGTTTCACTTTAGAACGTTGCCAAGGTTCTAGGAAATTTATGTGTTTTTTTTTTCTTGTGACCCATTTAGTAATGATTCACTTCTAAAAAAATGTTTGTCCCACGGCACATGCGTCGTAAAAATGTATCGTTCTTAACCAAGGTTAACTTTTAGAATAATGTAGAAATTGAAATATTTTCCGATTATTAAAAAAAGTCGGTGCCGCACGAATTGAATCGGAAGAACAGGAAATTGCAAATGTTTTCTTATGACGTAATGTGTTCTTTACGCCTGCCTATGCCGATGAGTATACCTAGTGACTGAATTCGACCAGAACGCAGTTACAGGGGAAGATGAATTAGTTCCTTACCGCCTGTAATATGATTTTTTGTTTCAACACTACGGTAGCAGGTCATATTAGCCATCGAGACATTTACTTTTTTTACTGATGTTATTTTAATGTCGGTATACTTTTTCGAAACAAAGCTTGCTTGAAAACCTGAAAAATATTCATCCTCCCTCGTTTCCCAGTTCTGATCGCATAAGGCAGAGATCTGGGGCAAATAATCCCATGTGTTTCTAAGCCGGAGCAGAGTCGAAGACGAGGTTTTCAAGTATCAAGTTACTTGTTTAGATCCTATTTCATTGCATGTGAAGAATAAAAACGTCGCCGGCAAATGAATCGAAATCTGTTATTGTTATCTCAATTTTCGGACTAGATAGTGTGTATCTCAACAGACAGATGAGGTAAATTCTTGTCTTGCAAAAAAATCGGTTTTAAATTTTCTGTACTAGAAATTTCCTAAAAGTAAGGCGGTTCGCAAGAAGCAAAGTGAATATTCTCTCGTATTTATTTATTTATCTGTAAAATGCTTCGTTTCACGTGAATAAACAGCCCGCTGCTTTATTTGGCAGCTAACAGTATTTTTTCCTTCGCGATATGCGCTGGCTGTGTTAATCACGAACGTGTTTTGGCAGGTTTAAACTATGAATTAAATCTTAAGTTGGCCGCCCGCCAAGAGAGTGTTACTGTGCTTTTGTGCGTCTTGCCTCAGTAAAAGATTCGATATGTATTTAAAAATCTATAAAATACTTTATCGCACAAATTTCAGACCATGGATTTTATAAACTATAATCCAATGAGGGGCAAATGCCATGTTTTTTTCCTTAAATTAAACATGTCCTTTGTTAAAAATTATTCTCGGTAACCGCACAAGAAAATTGCTAATGTGCGGTTTACTTTTTCGTACTGATCTTTGTATAATTTTGTTTTCGAAATGACGAAACTCAAAAGCTGACGTTAATTAATGTTTTAATTAATTTATTCATAAAAAGAAAACAAATTTCAGTTTCCTTCGTGTAAAACATGTATTTTTCACTGCGGGCGTGTTTATTCTTCATCCTGAGATAAACAGCTGTAAACAACTTTGCGTAATAAAAAAGCGTTATTAGCTTATGGAAAATATTTGCCAGTCTTGAAGCTTAAACATATCTGGACAGTTATATAACCCTTATTATTATAAAAAATTCTCAGTGAAATTGTATACCTACTATAATAATCGAAAACAATTATTTACTATAGCGTAGCCCACCACCATATTTTCGAGGGTGTTGAACACGAGCTTGAAGAATAAAATATTCGCATTCGATTAGCTGTTAATAGTCGAATTAAATAAGCCTTTAAATCGCAATTTTGGTCAACTTGCCTGAATTTTTGATATATGTTAGTTTGAGGTATATAATAACAATAAGTGACAGTAATTTTTTTTTCAACCCCCGGCCAGGGGTGAAAAAAGATAAAATAAAGGGGTTTTTCAAGATAACTCAAAAGGGGTAAGAGCTAGAAAAAGAAGTAGTTTTTTGTAGAATTTTTTGCTCTACAACTTTTATAAGAAACTTTTTTTTCTACTCCTTTTCAGTTATATTGAAAAACCCCTTTATTTTATCTTTTTTTACCCCTGGCCGGGGGTTGAAACAAAAATTACCGTCGCTTATTGTTATTATATACCCTAAACTAACTTATATCAAAAATTCAGGCGAGTTGACCAAATTGCGATTTAAAGGCTCATTTAATTGGACTATAAATGAATGACATTATTTGTAAAAAAAACTGACCTAACCTAACTTTACACAGATAAAATTCTACATAAAGTTAGGTTAGGTTTTTATTCATAAATATATGTACAAATGTAGATCAGATTAAATTTATTTTAATTCAGTTTTAAAAAACTTGACCTGACCTAATCTAACTTTGTATAAATAGATAAACTGTTACATAATGTTGGATTAGGTCAGGTTTTTTATATACTAAGTATATAAAAACTTGACCTACCATAATTTATAGATAAATACAGTTCTGTATTAAATTAGGTTATTTTAGGTTAAGTTATTATTTATATAATATAATAAAAGAATTTAACCTCACTTTCCAGACTACACTTTCCGGAATCCGAATACGACTTCGGAATTGCTCCATCACGTCATATTTTAGAGATATCCAAACCTGCAAGTGGTAATAACACGGTTTTTTGAGGTTATGTTACATCACGAGGTAATTTTTCTTCACAAACCTCCTTTTTAAATCCATTTTGATTGGTAAATGTTGATAAGTTTGCTGTTAGGTGAACAGTCAAAAAAAAGCTTAAAGATTTTATTTTTTGAGACTGAAATACATAATATGTAAAAATTGCCTCGTTTATAGAGAGTTTACGATATTGCCGATGTTTTGTTTTCTAGTTGAGGGGTCTGAAAATCTCGGTAACCGCTGAATTTGACGCACGCCCACCCGATTGCCAATGAATTCGTTAAAAACGGGTACATCCGAGTTGAATTAGGTTGTCAAGAGGTGGATCTCCAAATTATGTTCCGTGCGGGGGTCGGCGGACAACTCCAAGGAATACATTTGGCACGTGCTGACTTCCAGAGGTTGCGCGGGGCGAAGGGGGAGGCATCGGGCATGGCATCACACTCGTCTCCCTGAAACCTGAAGGCAACAGCGCCGCTGATCATCGGTCGTTAGTCCAATTTGACGGGGAGTTGTATTTCGCAATGATTTAGCGACTTTTGTTCATGAAAATTATACTCCAGGGACTCGTACAGTTAAACATAATTCTTAAAATACATAGTTCGCAGTAATAGCAATATCTTCATACTGTTTTCGATCCCTGAAACAAAATAATTTGGTACATCGTGCAGAGAATTAAGTTTCGAAAAATTCTGTTCTGGATATGACAATAATTCCAAACAATTTCCGTTGATTACACCGAGTTTTATTAAATGTTTCAGATGCTTTAGTGGATATTACATCAAATTAGCTGCCCCGAGTTATGGTAAAGGAGAAAACATTCTCTTGGCAATTTTATTAAGAATCTTGAAAGCCGATTCTTTATTAAAATATATATTGCGAGGTAAAAGGTAGAAATGTAATACTTCGGATATTTCAAGTTGACTTTTTTACCATTCCATCCTCATTGAAAGGATTTATGTCTCGATTTATGTTCACAATTAATTTTCGGTATATCGATTTTATGTGTAAAAAATATATAAGTCAATAAATAGCTTGATTACTATTATTTATTTATTATGTTTCACTGAAATGTCTCAAAACAACGTTAAAGTGGGGGAACGTTTTTTGAAAGCTTCAGAATTAGAAACTTTCGTTGCAATTACATTGGCCTTACTATGTTGCTTAGTGGGCAGCACCAACAGGGGCCAATAATAGCGACCACGTTTGAATGTACAATAAACTGGATTTAACCGTATATTACCACAAACCCTTTGGAAATAAATATAACGGGATAGGAAACAAGTAATTTTTTAACTACAGAACGGTTCGTTTCTTTGCTTTTTTTAATGACTCGTGCTGGTTCTAACATCTTTTTTTATTGTTTCAGATGATGAACAAGACCAGCCTTGAGAACAAGTAAGCTTAAGGTAAGACAATAATTAGCTCTGGTAATAGGTCTGTTTCTGCAGCAGTTGAGGACTGATTTGAAACTATCGGTGATATTTGACCAATCGATTCGTAAACTTTATACTCGCTGAAAGTACGAGACAACTTAATTGGCCGAGTATATCTGATAGTTTGAAAACAGTTTAAGACTGTTGCAGAAACAAACCTAATATGTATTTGGAAAACTGTGTTAGAATTCGCACCAAACCAACTTTTTGGTATTTTGAAATTATTTTGGGTTCTACAGGATGTCCCATTTCTTTTGGGTGTTACTTAACTTATTATTTTTAATATATAGCCCTGTACGTTATTGAATTAAAGTTCTCGCACGATTTAAAGCCTACTTTGATAAACAAATATTTGATATATTTTTTAACCGATGTTTGCAAAACATCAAATATCTTCGAAACTAAATATGAGAACTAGATGCGGTTTTCACCACTCTTTCCAGTATGAACGAACTTACTTTTTTTGTTAAATATGTTTACAATTTCCTATATAGATGATCGAGGTTTCTCATATTTGTTGTTGCTGTTTCCATGTAATAAGCGGATCTCACATAATAGCGCTGTTTCCAATAGCAAATAGTGAAAACATATATTTTATTATTACCCCTCGCTTTTTTTACTATATTTTAAAGGTCTAATTCATTGAAGTTAAACAGTCGTCTTCTAAATAATTTTTTTGGTATTTCGAAATTATTTTGGGTTAAACAGGATGTCCCATTTGTTGTGGGTGTTACTTACCTTATTCTTTTTAATATAATAATTTTTCGCTGTATGTAAAGCCTACTTTGATAAGCAAATATTTGATAAATTTTTTTAACCGACGTTTGCAAAATATCAAATATCTACGAAACTAAATATGAGAACAAGATGCGGTTTTCACCACTCTTTCCAATACGAACGAACTTACTTTTTTGTGAAATATGTTTACAATTTCCTAGATGTTCGAGGCTTTTCATATTTGTTGTTGCTGTTTCCATGTTAAGAAGCGGATGTCACATAATAGCGCTGTTTCCAATAGCAAATAGTGAAAATTTATATTTTATTATTAACCCTCGCTTTTTTTACTATATTTTAAAGGTCTAATTAATTCATTGAAGTTGAACAGTCGTCTTCTAAATCAATTTTTTGGTATTTCGAAATTATTTTGGGTTAAGCAGGATGTCCCATTTCTTGTGGGTGTTACTTATTTTATTCTCTAATATAATAATTTTTCGCTGTTTGTAAAGCCTACTTTGATAAGCTAATATTTGATAAATTTTTTTAACCGACGTTTGCAAAATATCAAATATCTTCGAAACTAAATATGATGCGGTTTTCACCACTTTTTCCAGTACGAACGAACTTCCTTTTTTGTGAAATATGTTTACAATTTCCTAGATGTTCGAGGCTTTTCATATTTGTTGTTGCTGTTTCCATGTTAAGAAGCGGATGTCACATAATAGTGCTGTTTCCAGTAGCAAATAGTGAAAACATTTGTATTTTATTATTAATCCTCGCTTTATTTTACTATTTCTTAAAGGTCTAATTCATTGAAGTTAAACAGTCGTCTTCTATGCCCCAAACACCAAACTTTTCGAAAAAAATTACATTTTGGAACGACAGTATCAGAAGCTGTCATTTGATAAGATTAAAAAACCATTAAGTTTGAATATCTTTAAAACAGAGTAAAAAAATGCGAGAACTGATGTGTTTTTTAAAGGAATTTAATAAAAAGGGCCAATATTTTTTTAAATAGACAAACAATTATAATCGACTTAGCCATCTTCAAGTTACTTGATTAAAACTATCTTAAATGAAATGGGGAATCAAAAAGATCCCTTTGTAGTGGCTGTTTTTTATGTGATTGGTCGAGGAGGACAATAGAATAACAAGATATTTCTTTGAATGATAGCATTATTCATAATTCAATACTAGATGGGGCATGGGCTGTTAGGTGTCCCGTCTGTGGGGTTAGATTAGATATCTTTTGCATACCCAGATTTCTGGTATCGAAGAGCATTGACTTCATTTGATAAGATTAAAAAAAATGTTTGAATTTGTTTGGACCGGCTTAATACCTGAAATAGAGTAAGAAATTAGTAAACTTAATTTTATGAAAATAAATGTTTATTTTTACACAAAAACGATGTATAACGATTATACCTGAAATATTTAGGAATTTTGTAGATATTTTTCGCTTTTCTAATAGATTGTGTGTGTTTCCTCGATATTATTTTATTATAACCACGTATTTTTTTAAAACCCGGGAATGAGGTCGTAATTTCATAAAAATCACGACTGCTTTGACAAGAATTGACAAGTTTATTTCCGCGATGTTGTGAATATTTTTCAAATATCTACGCAACATTTACGTTAAATTTCATTTTCACGGTCCATTCTGGTTATGAAAATTCTGTTATGTGGCATGCGCTTTTTTAATGTAATAAAATAGCAACAAGAAGTGTCAGAAAAAAATCTTGTTTGTTCTTAAGAATATTCTCCAAAAATAATTTGTCGAATTGGTACACCCTATATACGTTTTACACCAACCTTATTGGTGTAACATAGTTCGTTTTCCAATTAGCAAGTTAGTCGGTTTGTGGTGTTTAAATTTGCGTGGGTATCTAGAGCGTCGGGTCCAGGGTCTGGCGAAACCCCAGAAATCTGGCGACAGCGCTCCGTCGGCCCGCCTGCAACGAGCAGGAGCCCCGTCCGCAGCCGATAGACCGGGCGAAGCACGGGCAGGAGCCAGCGCACGGACCCCCCTTCTCAAGTGCCAAAGTGGTCGGCAAGCCATACCTTTTAAGGCGCGATGAAACTGCCAAGTGCGTCGGGTTACTTACTTTGCTCCCTTCGTCTCTCGCGTTGCTCGACTTACACCGCTGCGATATAGTCACATTTTTTTGTGTGTTCCGTTTCCGATCGCACGGACGCCAGCTTGCGAAAAATCTCCACCGGCGGTCGCTTCCATTTCTGCGTAGCGCCTCTACAGGATGATCTCGCGGAACCCGAGATACCGGACCTGCACCTATGAAATACTATATTTAAAAAAAACTTTCGATTTCGATTCGGTCTTACAATTAGAAGCGCTGAAAACGGTTTTTTGGCAAAAGGCAAAAGTAAATAAGATAATAGGCAACGCTTGGAATGGAGTACGCGTTATATTTATACTTCTGACTGTTCCGGTTCCTGTTGAGCTTCTACCAAGCACTAATGAACTGCTGCGGCTTTCAGAATTATTTAAAGACCCGATAGATGTGTAATCCAACAAATTAAGAACAGTCTGTTCCGTGGAATGTATATATGTATATAAAAAAGTAGAACTGAAATTCTGGCGCTAAAATGCATAATTTTGGAGAAATATGGGCATATAGTGCTAAACTATAAAATAAAATCACTTATCCCGTTCTTGTGTCACATATTTATTGATTTTTTCTTTTGCGCCCTCTGTATTTCCTCCTACAATCACGTTCTAACGTGTTTCTAATATTTCGTGCAATTTGCAATGTTACTTACCCATTCTTTTTGCACTTGGTGTAAATTATAAAATACATAGCACTATTTTAGTCTGCTCGAGTGCTTCCTTGGATGAACTGTTTAGGTCAAGTTACCTTAGTGCAATTTTTTCTTTTAAAAAATTACGGACTTCGAAAAAAATTGTTTTGGTGTTTTGTTTCATTTTGTTACTTATCTCAATAAATGTATCGATGTATTTGGCAGCAAAAGATGAATATCCATCATTGAATCACACTCTCAGTATCTAGTAAACAACTAAAGTCATTGTAGTAGGCACTGTGGCAATGACATTTAAGATATGGTATATAGTTTGTTATATATTGATTGTTTTAACTCTAATCGCCCTTTCCTTTTTCTCTTTCTCTCCCATTCTCTTCCATGTGAATTAGATTTCAATTTGGATGGCTGTCAGAAAAGATAACTGTATTTTTATAGCAATAGCTTGAATAGGTGTAAGTCTGTTTATCTTTCTCTAGAAAGCAAAATATACATGCCGTTTAGGTAATTGTGTTTAATGCATTTTTTTTAAAGCATCGATATTCTAATTGTTTTGCTATTTCAAGATCGCCCTAGCATTGAGCAATATTCGAGTGTCTGGAATTCAATTTATCGAGGTTAGAGGTATGCAAAATATCGTATCCCACCGAATCTAGGAAGGATGTAAACTACTCTAGATAACGTCCTTTAGTGATAAATCGACAAACCAAGCACCAGTTGGAAGGTGAGTTGGAGTGCCTACTGTCTATGCCGGACTAGCATCGATTTATCTCTATACCTACACCGAACTGCTCTGCTTTATTTTGACTAAAAGCCAGGGAGCACATGGCTTTTCCGGTGGATTATAGAGGTGACTAACCCGTTGGTTTCATCGAGCACCTCGCCGTAGTTTCTGACTACTCCCGTTTTCTTTATTATTAGATTTTAAGTCAGGGACATGCACATCGAGGAAATCACACAAATTCCACTTCTACGTCTCTTTTTTTGTCGTACTCTCAACGGGACAAAAAGACTATCGGCCTGCCACCGGCCAAATATTTTGGTTAAAATTTCGTCTAGCTTTCCGTTTTTCATAATTTGTTCAGTCTTACCCATCAACAATTTTGTAGTTTCAGGATCTGAAAGTCAAACATTTCAGAAATATATGATAATAAATCCAAATAAAAAAATTTTCAAAATTTTTACTTCTCTTTCAAAAGTTCCATGGGCTTCAATATTTTTTTTTTGGCAATGTCAGCTCCTTTAGTTTCATTCATCCTCTAATTTGAGCAATTTAAGAACTTTGTACGATGATTTTTCGCTGAATTATCGTCGTTTTAACAAAAACTACATTTTCCTTTTTGATAATTAATTATTCGGGATCGTACAGAAAATCTGAGCTGTGTTTTGAAAACTACAAAGTGTCCTGTATAACATGTTCTTACCGGTCTTTTTTCATTGCAAGAAACTTGATTAAAAAAAATATTGCTTATTTGAGGTTT